GGTCCCATCTGTATTTACTTTTATTTTTTAAATTTCAGTCTAGTCCCATGTTTAAAACAAAATCAACCATTTCACAAAGTCACAAGGATGAAATACTCTGTCAATATCGGGTGCTGTTGTTATACCTACCAAGGAAGAGGAAATGCATTTCAGACAGCTTAAGTCTCCATCAGGCTGCAGACCTAAAGTGTAGCAGTAGGGAGTAGCCAGGTCAGAGATGAGAAACAAGTAATACATTTCTCTGGCTGGTCCAATAAACTTTGCAGGTCTTTTTAATGTTTCCACTAGTCTGTAACTATTATTTCAGAATAACCATCACTTCCTTTGATGGCTTCTCAAACTGGATTTATCCACAGGCAGCTAATCCCTTGCTATAATTATTATCTGAAAATTAGGGGAAACAATCTTCTGCATGATTTAAGGTCCCATGGCCTCACTTTCTCTCCATTCTGATCCACCATGTCAAAATCTGTCAGTTTCCATGTATCGGCTGAAAATTCTACAAAAATTCATTATGAGAAGAATGTCCATATCCTTTATTATTTAGCCCCACTCAAATGATCTAAACTTATGTTCCATTAAATTCTAGTCTGGGCAATCTCTTCCATTTCTGGAAAACACACTCAACCAGGTCTAACTCTCCTCCAAGCTCAGTCTCTCTCTTCCTGAAATTTCTTTCTTCTCTTCTTCCTCTTTATCCTTTTTGCCCACTCATTAAGAACATGACTTCTTAAAGTCTCTGCCAACTTTTGCAGCCTGTTGAACCCTGTGAATCCATTTAGCTCTTTCCAATTGTATCATGCCACTTAACTCTCAATTATATTTTGTCACGTATGTTTTATATTTCAAGATGGCCCAATTAGATTATAATTGGGCACAGGGACTTTTGTTTTCCCCAAGCATCATGGATGCCTCAGAATGTGACCTGACTGAAGTATTAACTGATTGGAAGTGAATGTGCAAAGTGATTCAGAGTCTGAAAACACAACAGAGCCACTTCTATTGAATATTCAAAGTCACAGACGTTCCCAGTATCTCCCTTGACAAAAGCCTATGAGACCTAGGATCATACGTCCAAAACTACAATGACTATCAATGGAAAAAAAGAAACTTTACTTGAGTCAAATTTGTAGGCTTAAGCCACCACAGTAAAGGAAATAATGCTTATTTAGCGTAACAAATTGTCCTTTTTGAATTTTATGATGAGGCTCAATAAGTTTCTTTTGAGGGTTAAGATATGATTTAAATATTTTAGTGATCCATAGATCAAGTATATTAGTGATCCATGGCTCTAAACTCAGAAGTGTGGCTTCCTGAAATTCAAACCATCCATCTGTTTCAGTAAACTATGTGGTATGTGCACAGTATGCATTATTTATATTTAGGATTTAGATTTTTCAGAACTGAAAACAAGTCATACCATACATGGAAAGGGTGTGAACGTACAACACAACACCCCTGGAAAGGTCTGTGTCTCAACAATATTTTTGATCAAAAGTTGTTTCTATAGTTACAATACTATTACCCTTATCATGCACAGTGGAATAAGCCACTATAGTTTTGGTTATGTGGTTACTGAAATATGAAATTCATATAAAGCCAAATGATATCTTTAAGAAGAAAGCAGACATATCGACTCTGCTTTTTCTGTTAATGAGAAAGACTTGTTGCTTTAAAGTTTCACATAATCTATTCTTTTGGAAAGGGTATGGCTGGATCTATACTCAGAAATTATCCCTTGTAAAGAGCTTGATTTGAGGGATTATGTTTATTGTTCGTATTTTATTTTGCCTGTTAAGTAAAATAATAATGTGCTTCCAAAAAATGAATTCATTCTGCAATTATGCGGAATACTATTTGTGACACTGTCTGCCATCTCTTTCAAAAACAAATGTAGGCCTGGTTTCTATGGGAAGATCCAGACAGGAGATGAAGAATAGGGGCACTGACAGGAGTGTCACATGGTTCCTTCTGACAGTCCTTCTGACAGTTTCCAGTTTTACAACCCTAATTTGATCTATTTTTAAAGGGCCATGGCATGAAGTCAGAGGAAAAAGATTTAGAAGGAAACTGAAATGTTGCATGCCTTGTGCCTTTAAACTGGGGGAATTACTTTCTCAGATAAAATTATCTGAGCAGCAGACTGGAACAGCGCATCAGCATGGACTTCCGCACAGGACACGTGAAGGTTTGCAAAAACTAGGCTTCGGGGCGCCTGGGTGACTCTGTCAGTTAAGCGTCTGACTCTTGATTTCGGCTCAGGTCATCTCACAGTTGGTGAGTTTGAACGCTACATTGGGCTCTGCACTGACAGCATGGAGACCGCTTGGGATTCTCTGTCTTTCTCTGCCCATCCCCTGCTCATGCTCTCTCTCTCTCTCTCTCTCTGTCTCTCAAAAAAAAAAAAGAAAAAAAGAAAAAAGAAAAAAAAAGCTAAGTTCAAAGTATTGGGTGAAGGAAGAGACAAGATGGCGAAGGAGAGGGAGGAGGACATCAGAGGGTGCGGTCTCCCTGCAGCACCCCATTTCCTGGCAAGAAGCTCCACTAGGGAAGCCAGAAGCTTAATCAAGAGCTGAAGTAAATGGAAGAGTGAACAGTCTACAGGATTAGAGTTTCCTCAGTTGTTGCCTCCTACAAAGAACTTTTCTCACCATTTGAGAAACAGAAGCACATTTATATCCATCAACTTCCATTACTCAAACTTCCCTGCATTGTATCTATTAACTACACATGTACAGATTGAATATGATGGGTGTGAATATCAGCAAGTGGCTGCAAAGCTTAATTAACAGCACTGGAATAACATAAGTTAACACTAACTTGATCTGATCCACCTGTCCGTGCCAAGAACTCCAAAATAACTACCATTTTACAGTCCCTGCACCTGGATTCTGTATTAAATTTCAGGTGGACGTTTAAACAAATTTCACTTTAATCAAATACCGGAACTGTGAAATGAAGACTTCCTGAATGCACTGTGTGGACTCAGGCAAGTTAGAGGCTTTGATATCATAGTTACAGTTATATATTATCACAAGAAGCTTAGAGCTATTATCTTCCCATGTTTACTCTCCAGTTAGTCATTATAAAATTTAGTGTTCACATAACTTTCCCAAAGGAATCAATTTCTCTGCATGGCATTGTGATAGTCATGGCACCATTAAAAAAGTAATGGTAGTTGTAGCTGTGATTTATGGATCTGGGTGAGCCATATGATATATATGGCATTAATTGAGCTGGAAGGAATCCAGAATAGTCAAATTCTCATCTTTCCATCTCTACACAAAAGTTCTGAATTTGGACCTGCCAGAAACATTATTTATTAGCACATTAGATACTTCATGTACTGAAATGCTCAAAAGTCTGTCAGCACTTTCTGCTGAAACCATTGAATGTTCCTATCAATTTTTCTTCTGTCCTTTTATGCTGTTTCTCTGTGTCTCTCTTTCTGTCCCTCTCACACACAGCACACAGGGCTGATACTTCCTGTCTCGGCTTGCAATACCTTTGTTTTTATAAATTTGAATGTTCAAGAAAGTTTGGGACCTGTGATCATGTTTACTTTTTGTTGTTAAAAAAAAAAGTTGGAAGAAAGTTCTCCTCAACAGTTTATCTTCCTTACTGGACTCAATTTCCCTTCTCAGTTTCTTTTAACTTGAAGGGGAGAAGAAAATACGATTTAGCCAGTCCTTACTATGTGATGGGCACTGTCTTCAGTATTTTTATATACCTGTCTCATGCAATCCACATAACAGCTCAGAAAGTGTACTCACTTTAGTCCTGTCAAACATCACCCTGTCAAGTAAACCTTCTAGATCAAGTCCTTCTTTACATAAACCAGTCTAACTAGGAACTGCTCCTGTCATCCCAGTCCCCTTTTTCTATTTTTCTTCTTGGCACTTATTATCACCAATCATATCATATTGATTTTTATTATTTTGTGTCCCCCTGCTATCACACAAGCATTATGAGAATAACCATTTTCTTGTTTTTGGGTTTTTTTTCGTAGCTATCTCTTATTGCTTAGGAGAGTAGCTGATGCATAATATATGCAAATAAATATCTATAAAATGGATGATTAAATAACTGATTAACCTCGGAGTAAAGAGTAGAGACTGTAGTCTTAATGTCTGGGCTCACATCCCAGAAAGACAATATAAGGTAGGTGTCAAGTGTGTGGCCTGGGAATCAGGCAGTTTGGGTTGGACCCCAGCTTTCCCATTCATTGGTTATGTGACCTTGGTCACATTGCCAGGGCCTCCAGATTTCTCATCTGAAAGATGGGAATAATAACAACCAACTCACAGAGTTGTGTGAGAGTTGAATTAATAAGTGCTACATGCTTAGGAAAGTACCTAGCATTCCATGTTAAAGATTATCGTCAACCTCAGTTCACAGATGAAGAAACTGAGGTTCAGAGAACCCCCCCCACGGGCTCCATGGAAAATAAGACTTCCAACAGAGCTTCCTTTGATGCCACAGATGACTTTTTAGTAGATAATTCTTTTCCCTCAACCGCATTTCTTATCCTCTTCTTCATTTTCTTTATAATTTTAATAACAGGATTATTAAAAATAATAATTGGATGTGGAGTATTGCTTAGGTGTGAACATTACAGGTTGTAAATAAAGTGCACTTCTCTCTTTAAAGAAACCATCACGGGAAAAGATAGGGTATAGAAAAATACACTTGGATATATAAAAGGAATAAAAATTTGTAATCCCATTTTCCCCTAAAATCATTGAATACTGAATTTTCTACCTACAGAGATAGCTTTGAATTGCTTATTTAAAAAATGCTTGGCCATGAAATGTTATGCTGTAAGAGTACCACCAGTATAGATTGATTGCTAGTTTTACGAATTTCATCTTCATCCTGCTTTTAGCTTTGTAGGTTGTTTCAATGTGTGGTAGGATCTACCTTTTAATTGAATCTGTCATTTCTCTGACTCCTAGAGCAGTTTTTTACCCACGTTTTCTTTTTCCCTCTCTTTTGTTCAGACAATGTCCTTTCTTCAGAAATGTACTGGGAAGTTCAATATAGAAAATACCTAAGTGGCATTACTCTGGCTGAAGTAAGATTGAGAATTGCAGAGTCCTGCTTCCCCAGCCTGCCTCTGCCCCTCCTCCCGCCCACACCAAGCCTCTCAAACTCGGCGAAGACTCTGGGTAAGATTTTCATTTCAAAAGAAATATAGCGAAGGCTAGTTTCTTATATAGTAACTTCTACTTAAAGGGGATTTTAAAAAGCGAAGCAGCATTTAAACTGACGGCTTTAGACACTTCAGATGCACTTCAAATCAGAATTAATTTTCTTTTCGTGTCTCTACTCCGAAGCTTGATTTATTAGCATCATTTGCCTTTTAAAAGAAATACTCAGTGATTTCTAATTTATTCCAATTATTACAGCCATATCTCAAAACTCATTGCTGTCTTCTCACTTACCTTTAAAATGTGACCAGGGGCGCCTGGATGGCTCAGTCGGTTAAGCGGCCGACTTCGGCTCAGGTCACGATCTCGCGGTCTGTGAGTTCGAGCCCCGTGTCAGGCTCTGTGCTGACCGCTCAGAGCCTGGAGCCTGTTTCGGATTCTGTGTCTCCCCCTCTCCCTGCCCCTCCCCCGTTCATGCTCTGTCTCTCTCTGTCTCAAAAATAAATAAACATTAAAAAAAATTAAAAAAATAAAATGTGACCAGCCTTCAGGTGGATGTGGTAATGCGGGTTGATTCTCACTGTACTGTCCATCCATCTCTTTCCTCCCACACTCTGGTGTCCCCTGTCCCTGTTCAAATTTCAAGCACAAGCATGTGGCCAGGCTGTGTAAGATGCCCTGGGAGGAAGATGCTGGAGCTGAGAGCAGATGCACTCTGAAGCTATTCTGGTCTCAGGGCACCAAAGAAGTTAGGACAGGAGATCTGCCAACCCCAGTCTCACACACACACACACACACACACACACACACACACACACACACGAGAGAGAGAGAGACAGTCTGGGAGCAGCTTCCATGGACAAGGAGAGAGGAGGTATTGGGGCAAATTGATTTCCAGAGCCTTAGGGTACCAAGTGATGCACTAAGGGCCCCCAGCCAAGCTGGTCCTCAGCATTGACTACTGAATGACAGAGTCACCTCAGATTGGGAATTCTGCCCCCTTGGAAAATGATTACATGTGAGAGTGTATGTAGTGAAAAATTCATTCCCTGACAGAAAAGGCACGAAAACCTTAGCTGTTGCCTCTAATCATCAGTCAACATCCATTTTGCAGTGTCAATGACATGGAAGTTTATTTCAAGCAGGTCAGAAAATTGAATTTTGCTTCTTTCTCTCTTTTCTTCTCTCTCTCTTTCTTTTTCTACACCATTTGCCCTCTAAAATGTATCTCTGCTACAAATATTTGAAAAGTATTTCTGGTAAGCATAGGATAATGTATAAAGTTGTGGAATCACTATGCTGTACACCCAAAACTAATGTAACATCGGGTGCCAAATATACTTCAGTAAAAATAAATAACTAAATAAAAATAAAAGTATTTCTTTTCATTTGGGTTTTTTTCTGATAATCTTTAAATGTACAAATATTATTTTGTGTGTTTTGGGTGTACAATGGTGTGTTTTGTTTTGTTTTCTAAAAGTCGGATATTAACTTGATGTGTTTGTCTAATAGTATTTTCAAGTATAACAGAGAGTCCTCAAAGACTGATATTGATGATGGTGATGGGGTTGATTGGCCCTGACTACACACCATATATAAGCAAATATTTTAAATTTCCTTTGGTGAATGGAGTCTCTGAAATTTGTCCAATTTCCAACCCGACATTTGATTTACAGTATTAATTTGTTAGCAAATACTTTTTTTAAAAGTAAAATGCTGGGGCACCTGGGTGACTCAGTTGGTTGAGCATCCAACTTTGGCTGGGGCCATGATCTCACAGTTCATGAGTTTGAGCCCCGCATCGGGTTCCATGCTGACAGCTCAGAACCTGGAACCTGCTTCAGATTCTGTGTCTTCCTCTCTCTCTGCCCCATCCTCACGTATGCTCTCTCTCTGTCTAAAAATAAATAAAACATTAAAAATTTTTTTAAATTAAAACATCAAAAAAATGTTTTTTAACTAAAAAAATTAAAAAAAGAGTAAAATGCTGAGGTTTGTTAAAAACCAGTCCAGCTACAATCATAAGATAAATTGCTACAAATTATATGGAAGTTTTGTTTTATTTACATTGCTGAGATTTGAACACTACAAAAGGCATTGTTTAGCAGTGATAGCAACAATTTTAATTTTATAAAACAGAAATGAGAAAAGACATACACAATGGAATGTCTCCATATCTTTTTGGAGGTGTTTAATTTTTTTTTCCATAATATCTTATGCTTTAATAAAGGACACAATCCTCTCCATAGCCTCCAGATAGAGGCTTAATGGCTGGTTTTTGTGGATGAGGGGGTGATAATACAGAATGGGGGGAACATAACTTAATAAATAATCTGTATACTTTGTGTTTAAAAGAATTAAGCCAGTTGTGATCACTAGCTCTGTGGGAAGTTGGACTACAAAGCTCATTAGGTGACCAGTAGCGACAATGCTCTCCCGTACAGATCTCCCTTAGATTTGGATTAGAGCTGATTAATAGCTTTTTACTCTTTTTAACAAAACCAGTTTCATTTGCTGCTTGGTTTCACTTCGGGTCCTTTGGCGGCCACCTCATCCATCATAAAGCCTGGGTTTCTTGTGGGATAGCAGTTTCCCAAAGCGTTGTAATATGGCACACCATGTGAAACTTCCTTCTCTGTGTTCTTAAGGACGTCTTTGGTCCATTTCCCTTATTTAGAGTTGCTGTATACCAACTGTACCCTCTTGGCTATTTTCTTAATACATATAATGTTTTTAAAATTAAAACAGTGCCTGGCAGATGTTGGATACTTAATATGCCCAACATAGTGCTCAGCATCTTAGGCTCCCTAACTTATTCCTATTTTACAGATGTTGAAACAGAGAGAGATAAGGTCATTTTTCCATAGTTAATATTAGCTAATCAATGTCAAAAGTGGGATTCAAATATAGACCTGGTTCTTTTTAAAAAAATTATTTATTTGCTTTGAGAGAGAGAGAGTGAGAGCACGAGCAGGGGAGGGACAGAGAGAGAGGGAGAGAGAGACTCTCAAGCAGACTCTGTGCTGTCAATGCAGAGCCCAGTGCAGGGCTCAATCCCAGGAAACGTGAGTAGATCTGGTCCTAAAGCCTATTCTTCTACATCTTGACAATATGTTGCCTCTGTATACCTAGGCTGCATCATTGTATTAAGTTCATTTATTCCTTGGTTTAACAAAATTATGAAGTATCTAAAGTAAAGGGTTGGAATGCAAAATTGCACAGAACAGAGTGCCTAGCCCTCTTGGGCCTTTCCATATAGTGAGAGAGAGAGGGAAAATATGTTAAATGGGTAGGGAGGAAAACACAATTCAATTCTTTTGAAATACCCAAAGATAAATTTCTCAAACGAAGGTGATGTTGGAATTGATTCCTGAAGGATGAAGAGGTATTGGGATTAAAAAAAAAAAAAAAAAAAAAAAAAAAAGCATACTGGCTTTGAAGAAGAACGTCAAAGTTAGACCAGAAAGGTGGCAAAGCTTAAGAGGTAGACAAAGTCATATTTCACTTAGCATTCTAGTAAGAATGAATTATATTCTAGATGTAGATACAGGTAGGGTAAGCATAGGAATAGTTTAAGCAGAGAATTTCCATAAGCTTGAATTTTTATAAAGGTTACTATAAAGTATGTCAGAGAATACTTCTCCTTGAAGCCTAGCTGAATTCTGGATCTCAATTTTGGTAATCCCCTTTGCTTTTAGAAAAGAAATAACAATTAAAAAATAATTCTCATTTAAAAAAATACTCTGGCATTTGTGTTTCCTTTGATCATATTTCTTCTTGTAGAGTTGGGTAGAAAGTTAAAGGAGACTGAAAAAGCAGCAAGCCTCTGAATGGAAAGGCATTAGTAGAATATTCATAAGTGAGTTCTAAGAAGTACTGGGGCTGCAATTAGAAAAACTAGGTTTAGATTCTGCCTCTACTCATGAAGAGAGTTCTTTATGCTTTGTAAAAATTGGGATATTTTTCTTTACATATCCCACAGGAATAACTTAAGCTTTAAATGATAATATCTGTGAAAGCACTTTGTGAATTATGAAAGTGTGTGCAGGCTCAGGTGTGAGCCTGAGTCTCCAGTGTGTGCAGAAATTTGAGGTGGATGTCTCCTATTTGCCCCAATGGGAGAGCCTTGAGGTTTTAGTGTGGTTCAAAGTATGGCGATTATCATGCTTCACCCTGACCAGAAACTAGGGCAGGTAAGAATCACTACTCTTGTGAGTGTCACGATTAGGGAAATATCTTCCTTAGTGATGGTGAAAAAAGTTACTGAGATAAGAAAGAACTCACAAAGTAGTGTGGCAAGGGACATTCTACCAGCTTTCCCCCACCCCCGTTATATATGGCTGTAAGTCTTCTGACAGTTGGCCAAGGGCCTCCAGTTGATATTGGGACATCAATATGCTCCAAAAGATTTTCCAATATAAAGCTTTACCTTTGAAATGTCCTTCCCTTTTGAATATGGCAGAGTACAGCCATATTTATAATTAATAGGTAATTTCTATACTACATCATTTCAATTTATATGGAGCTATGAATTTCATCCTCTGTGTTAATGACTGAATTGTGTAGCCACAATTTACATATTGAAGCCCTAAGCCCCAACGTGACTATACTTGGAAAAAAGGTCTTTAAAGGAGTAATTGAAGTTAAATTGGGTCATAAAGATGTAGCCCTAATCTGGGTGAACTTTTATTCTTATAACAACAGGAAGAGATACCAGAGTTCTTTCTCTCTCTGTCTGCATGTGCCTAGAGAAAGACTATGTGACGACACAAGAAGCCAGCTGTTTTTGTACCCAGAATCTCATATCCCATTTCCCATCCCTCCCTGCAGAGCCTATTTTTTCCTCAGATCTATTAATCAATCTACTTGTATATCTTTCAAGGGAATTACACTCTTTGCATTTACTTGTCATTTCCTAGAATACCTTTACCATCATATTTGTTTAGCCAAATGCTAGCCATCCTTCAAACCTTAATGTGTATATCTGTGTCTTCAGGAGTCTTCTCTTCATCTACCTATCTAATTGAGTCAACTCTCCACTGTGCATCTATTACACCTAAAATATACCTCTATCGAAGCCTGATTATGTTTTGCTATCGTTGAGAATAATCTTACTCATTTCTAGTAAGCTCTGTACAAGGAGTAAAGGGTAAGCTCTCCAAGAATTCTCATTTCAGCAGTTAGCACCTAGCCTTTTACTAGGTGCTCAGTAAATGTTTTTTGATCCACAAAGTGGGTTACAAGAAAGAGATATAAGGACTTAAAGTTAAAAAGAAATGAAAGAAAAGCATATGAAAAGGAAAAATGATAGCCTCAGTTGAGAATAGCTTAAGCACAAAAGCACTAATTATGGAAAATTAGAAGAGTGGAAATTTGAATGTGTGAATATGGTGAACGCTTTGCAGCGGTTAAGTAATCACACATAAAACTTTTTATGGGCACAAAATATATAAAAGGATATACCACTTGGCACCCAGAAAGAGCTCAATATGTATTGATGTAAAAAAAAAGAATGGATGAATATTTACCAGGTAATTAGATAAAAAGTGACAGGATAGGCAGCAGAGTACAGGGTACAGGTTAGAAAATACTGAGGATAAATTAAAGAGCAAATAGATAAAGCAATAATGATAGAATGTTGCTGATACTCCATACGATGAATTTTCAAATGACAACTCCCAATGATGGATTTCTTAGACATTATAAGATTAACATTCGATCCTCTGAGTAATTATCTATTTCACTCATCTTTAATAATAATGATAACTTAAATTTTGAGATTTCTAATTTGAAAAAGGCATTCATATGCATAATTCTATTTAATTGTACAATAATTATGTGAGACCCTTAAGGCAGTTAATGCTTCCATTTTACAAATGAGGAAGCAGGGGATAGACTAAATCCTTTGCTCACTAGTACTTTCCAGTCCACGTTGGAGCTAGAGTAGATCCCCAGGTCATGACAGCGACCCACTTATTTTGCAGATAAAGACAGCTTCAGGTATATACCTTGATTAGTTCTAAGTTAAAGGCGTGCTAGCCAGATTTACCCAGCTCATATCTTCTAGCCAAGTGCATTTCTAACTAACCCAAACTGTTTCTTTAATATTGACTCTATCATGTGCATTTATTTTTTATATCATGTGCTTTTAAAATGTCAGAATTTTTAATTTATCTTTGTGTTGCATTTTTAGATTGGTAATATTGCATTTCACAACCTTGTCCCAGGGAAGTTTTATTTGCACAAACTCTGTCTGACAAGGTTTTGTGAAGATTGCTAATTTAAGAAAGTGAGGCAATCCTGTTTTTTTCCTAGTTCCCTAGTTGAATCAAGACAATGGGGAAGAATTTGTAAATAAAATAAAATACATTATGTGTTATTCACGGGTTCGATCCCGGGCTCTGAGCTGACAGCTGGGAGCCTGGAGCCCACTTCAGATTCTGTGTGTCCCTTGCTCTCTGCCCCTCCTCCACCTGTGCTTGTGAGCGCGCGCTCTCTGTCTCTCTGTCTCTCTGTCTCTCTGTCTCTCTGTCTCTCTGTCTCTCTCTCTCCCTCTCTCTCTCTCAAATACATAGGTAAACAAAAAATATATCATATGTCATTTCTCACTGGCATAGCTTCAATTTTGAGGCTCTTTCATGTGGCTGCCAGTATCTTCTTAAGGAGGAGATTCAGGGAAAGAAATCAATATGCTCACCTGGTCACATACCACACATTTGTGCCTCCACCAATTCCAATCCCATCCAGCTACCCACATAAATCTCAGATTAGGATTTCTTCTGCTCATTAGCTGCCACTATTTTCTCTTTAAATATCAGAAGAAATTCCTTGCTGATTATTCAAAATGCCCCAAACCTGCCTACATGTAACAGAGGAGATAAGTCTACATCTCACATCTTATTTTATTAAAAGTTTTATCTTATGGATATTTCATTCAAAAAAATCACTATAGAAAATGGAAGTTCGGGAAGTTCTTCAAGTTCGGGAGAAAATGTAGACTTCTTTGATGGTGGAGAAACAAGAAAGAAATTTGAAAACATACCTCAAAGGGCTTTTATGAAAGTTAACGAGCTAGTGTTTATAAAACATAATGGGAATCAGTCTTGAAAGGAACATTGCAAGCAAAATGTTTTAATATTATCACATATTCTCATATTACAAAGATTTAAAATTACAGGTTGAAGGGTGTGCAGTGGAAAGTCTCCTGCTCAGTTTAAAGAGTTCTCAATTAATACTCCACCACCACTTGGGGGACTACACTCAAGGTGCCTAGCATAATTCAGACAGCACACTGTTAGACCAGTAAGAGAGAACAAGTTTCCACTTCTACTTTGCTTATTTTTGTCTTTTGGACCAAATAATCTCTAAATATTTTAGAGGAAACAAACTATTTTAATGTTTTGCCACCTACCTGCATCATCAAAGCAGAAATATTTGTAAATGTTGACACCATGAACCATGACTCCCGTGAGAAGAAATTGCATTTATTAAACTTGACTCCTTTGGCTCCTACAACTTAATTTCTGTTTGCCCGATGCTAGATGATAATGCACCACAGAAATTTATCACACTGTATAACTTTCTAACTGTAATCACTGTAAAGTTTCAGCTAGGATTGCACTTAGCAAAGCTTTGCCAAAGACAGATGAAGAATTAAAATGATTTCCAATTAAAATGCAGTTTGACTCAAATAATCAAGAGAAAATTTGGAAAGTAGATAGAGGGAAGAAAGGAGGGGGGAGAGAGAAGAATGGTTGACATTTTCTGCCTGCTTAATATACATTTTCCTTTCCAAGTCCTTTTCTCACAGACAAGGCAATTTATTAAGTGGCGGATGCTATGCTTTTGTCTACCTTTATCCCCTTCTTCAGGGAACTGTCTTTTCTGTCTCCCATGTGTTCCTGGTGGGACTGTCAATCATGATGGTCCACCCATTCCTAGAGATGTATATAAGACTACCATTCACCTGCAGTTTGCTGCTCTGCAGGATATAGTGATGAGTATAAGGGCAGGCATGTGACTTAGAGTCTTTCTAAAAACTAAGAGGGAAGATCTCAACTCCCTTTGGGTTATGAGATATAAGAATACAAGTTGGAGGCTACAGCATGCCTCTTTCTGTCCACATAGAAAAAGCCTGCCTGAGATTTAAGCCCACAGAAAAACCTATGCAAAATTGCTTGAGTCTGTTTCTAACACTGCTTGGACCTCCAAGTTACATGAGTCACCATGTTTTCTTTTTCTTTTTAATTGGGCTGATTTTTGTTGAGTTTCTTGCAACCCAAAAGATTTGGCTAATACAATCTTTAGATGAATTTTTCTCCATCCTCTCAAAAACCTCATTTTACCGAGGAAAGGCCTAGTGAGGTTGAGCAAATTACCCCAATTCACATCTAGGAAGTGTCACAGCCAGATTCAAGACCACATAGTCTGTCTAGGGTTCCCATAAAACACAGTGTCAAAACCATTAAAAGACTGGACCATGTGCACCTGGTGTTCATGAAGATCACCCGCTTTTTCCTTTTTCTTTGATTTTTCTTTTTTATATGTTCAATTATTCAATTCACATGTCATTCTTTTTATTCTAATATATCTTTGATTAAAGTTCAAATGGTTCAGTTTGTCCTTTGTCAGTAGCAAAAACTCGCCCTAAGCAGCTGTTGCATATATAGCACTGTTGCATATATAATTTGATAATTTAGAACTATTTCCACTGAAAAGAATACATAAAACAATGACTAATAATTCCCAATTTATATTACTGATTTCATGTACTTTTTATAAACTGATCACATTTCTGGTATTTTTTTTTTGCTCAGATGTTTTGGGGAGATGTTAAAAGAAGATTGCTAGGCAGCAAGATCGTCATGTCCCCAGGATGCCCCTTTCTTCCTTCAATAAAGCTAGCTTATTCTTTCTCTCTTCAGCTCATGTAGTCTCTGTTCCAATGTCATGCTCCCCAAATCTTTTCATCCCTAAATCAAAAACTTCCTTTTTCTCACCCTCTTATATATTTCCTCTTCGGCTCTACTGTTCCATACACTGCTACCAAACTTGTGTGGAATTTAATTTTCTGCCTGCATACTTGTTCTGCCACATGTGAAGAAATGGTACTAACTAGGACCTTCCACACTGCACAGCCATGGATATGCAAAAATTATGACATGACCTATAGCCTTAAAGAGCAATATGTTTAGTTGGAAAGACAAGCATGTTAACAAAATTCTGTAGTGAAGCCATTAGTCTTATGATATAGGTATACAACTTACAAAGGGGGGCCAGATATATGAGCAAATAACGCGAATAAGATCCAGTGAGAATGTTAGACATCAGCCATCAAGGACAGACAAGGGCTGTAGAGACATAGTTGAAGAGGAAGCAGTGGTGTCAAACGGAGACAAGCCAGACAGATAAAACAATAGGCACAGGGGCACCTGGGTGGCTCAGTTGGTTAAGCTTTCAACTTTTGATTTTGGCTCAGGTCATGATCTCATAGTCTGATCATGGGATCAAGCCCTGTGAAGGGCTCCAAGCTGAGTATGGAGCCTGCTTAAGATTCTCTTTCCTTTTCTCTCCTTCTCTCTCTGAACTTCCCCCTCTTTTGCTCACGTGCTCTGTCTCTAATAAAACAAAAGCAAAAACAAACAAAAAATAGGCACAAAGACATGAAGCATGAAGGAATTTAGCTTCGGTCACAAAGATAATTTTGAAGTGCCTACCCAGTTCATAATGAGCCCTTTAATACTATCTCCCTCCCTTGATAGTTCTATACATAGGAGCTGGTCCCCCAGAAGCCATATTTTTGCAATATGTCTACAAGTGCACCTCTAATGATGGGTCACTAGACCGGAGTGCTTACCTGATTCATGTTGAATGAATAAACATCCCATCCCCTAATCTAGAATTTGACTTAAAAGAGAAAGAGAGAAATAGAACAAGAGACTTCTTGCCATTGAATCTATACTTGGGAGTTTCTCTAGTGCACCTGCTATGAGGAAGAAAGATGTAAAGAAAGCCATGAAGGGAGCAATGGATCAGACTGAACAGAGGGAGTCCTGATCCATTCATTGAAATATCAAACTGCATCACAGAATTACAACATGGGAGGCATTGTGAAGGTTCAGAGAGCTCAAGGGTAAGAAATAAAACTGCAGGCTGATTTCAGGAAACCAACATCCTAATGCAAAGGATAGATAACAAAAACAAGAAGCCATCAAATAGTGATTAGGCTATAGTACAATAAATCAAAGGGATGTAGTAAAGAATGTCTTGGGGACTAATTTGGATTGGGGGTTTAGAGAAGGCCTCTATAAAGAAATAATAGCTAAGCTAAGATCTTAGTGACAAGAAAAACTGGTGAATATATAGGGAGGAAACTTTCAAGCTGAACTTGAAGGAAGAAATAAATTTAGCACGTCAAAGACACAGAAAGGTCAAAGTGATTGGAGCTTAATGAGAGAAGGAAAAATATTAAGAGGCGACATAGAGAAGGATGCAGGGGCCAGGTGAAGTAGGGCCTTTATGCCAGGTTATTTCATTTTAAATTAAATCATAAGCCACTAAAGTTTATTAAATTATCCAGTGATATTCTCTGATTTAAGTATTGAAGAATCAGTTTCACTTGCAAAATAGATTGTAGTGAGAAAACAAAGAAGCAAGGAAACTAGATCATAGATAACCTGAAATAGCTCAAAGTAGAGAAGACAGAAACTTTCCTGCCAGGATGGTAATAATGTTGATGCAAGAAATGAAACATTTGGAGATAGAGAAAAGCCTTGCTAGTAGATTGGAGAGAGATGAGGGAGAAAAAAGAGAAAGCAAGAATGATTTCTAGGTTTCAGGCTTAAGCAATTGAGTAGATGAAGATACACTTTTCTGAGATGAGTATGACTGTTAGAAGAACAAGTGTGGGGCTCAGTGGGGAGAATTCAGGGTTCTGTTTTGACTGTTCTGAGCTTGAGATGCCTACTGGACATCCAGGTGGATATGTCAAGTGGGTAGTTAAATATTTGAGTCTGCAGTCCAGGAGAGCAATGTGGAGTGAAGATATAAATCATTGTGTAGATAGTACTAAGTCCTGAGCTGCAAGATATTACCTAGACAGAAGCATAGATAGAAATACATGTCCTGAGCTATGCCCTGAGCCATTGGAGATTAGGACAAGGAGAAAAAAAGTCAGAAAAAAAAACTGAGAAAGAGTGACAGTATGGTAGAAGGAAAACACTAGAATGTGACATTTCAGAAGCCAAGAAAAGGTTTCAAGGTGGAGGGATTGTTTAACAGAATTGAATAGTTTGGGAAGTTGAGCCAGATAAGGACACATGTATAAACACTGGGTTTGGAAATGAGGGAGACTTTTATACATTGGTGATAGAAACAGAAACCCTATTGGAGCAAGTTCAGACAAAAATAAGACATGATTTGGTGGAGGAATTAGACTGGTGCAGCCTTTTCAAGATTCTGTTGTTGAGAAGACCAAAAATAGGCTGGAAGAGCTTCACGAGCAAATTCCTACAATGCATGCACCGATGAGAATGAAAAAGTGAACCAGTAGAGACATTGAAAGGGACGATGCAGGAGAGAGGGGAGATAGTCGTAGGAGTGACTTTCTTGAGACAGTGCTAGACAGCAGTGGGGACGGGAGGAGGAAAGGAGTGGCCCTGCATTGAGTGGGGGCGCTTCACGTATGGTAGCAGGACAAATAGCACAGAGCGTTGCTATGGATGCCAGGAGAGTGGTAGGTTTGGGGGTATGAAGTTGTGGGAGTTACTGCCTAATTCTATTTTCTCCTTGGGGATTTAGGCCAAGAATAAGGAAGGAAGGTAGAGTGTTGGAGCTCTAGGAAAGGGAGGTAGTTTGAAATCATTGTTGCAGAGAATAGGAGAGCAAACATTATAGGGTAGTATGTAGGGTTCCTGACCAAAGCGGAGGCCTTGGTTGAGTATTGCAGTCATGAATATAAGGTGAGACCAGTTAGTATTGTTGTGTTTATTCCAGCAACATTTATTTGCTCAAGTGTCGGTAGGGAAAGAGCTGGGATTTACCAGAATTGGAGCCTTCCTGAGCAGGAATTGAAGGAAGGAGGAAGATGCCTAATAGTTAAGGCATTTTTCTTTTTAGAAAGTGATTTTAGTTACAGGCTGTGAAATCTAAGCTATGTAACCATAGCAATGACAATTAGAAGGATACGTAGTTGTACAAAAAAGAAAACAGTAAAGAGTCAGAGGTCTCAATGAGGGCAAAGAGTTGCTAGCGTAGGACACCTAGAATAAATAAGCTAAATGGGTGGGAAGTGGTAGAGTCTGAAGATTGATATAGAGATCCTGGCAGCATATGAATTTTTGATGGTTATACATGTCAAAGGTCAGACCATGAGTGTCAGTAAACAAGAAGAGAAAGAAAAAAAATGTGAGGCCAAAGAATTAAGAAGCCAAGGTACTAGAGAGCACAACCCAATAGATATTGAGCCAGCAAGAACTGTCCCAGAATCAATGTGGTGATGAAAAAGGGAGCAGCTACTAAAGTCATGAATGGAAGGGGAGAGGCCAGGTTGGCACGGGACACCAGGAGGAAGGGTAGCAATTCATGAAGTTTGTTGGCATAAACTCTGAAAGGGCCTGGCGTATTTAAATGAGAAGTAGGGAGACAGTTTGGAAGCAGCACTGGAGGGCAAGGAAGACATGCTCCTTCCCCTTTGCTGATCCCTGAGGTCAGTCAGCGGAGGGAAGACAAACACTTTCCACCCCTGAGCTTTGCCTGGTGTTCAGCGGCAGCACGAAATGGCCAGCTTTCCTTTAGGACAAAAAAGGAGATGGGATCATGAGGAAAAAAGTTAGTGAACAAGGGGTGTTAGCTACTGACCTGCTACCTGTTCCAAAGGGCACACTGGAAGAGATTTAGAGGGTGGAGATGAGTGACAGATCGGAGATCATAGCCTCTGCAGCATTAGACTGTGGGTCGTGTAAGGAATGTATTTTCCATCAAAGACCCAGCACACACACAGACCATGCACATATGTAAATGAGAGGCAGGGTGTCTCAGAACAATGCTCTCTCACTTAGTACCTGGGATGTACTCTGACCAGTCGTAATCTACTTAGATACAAAGAAAATGCTATTTTGGATCCACTAAATCAGTTTCACAAGTGTTTGGATTGGATTCTTGTAAACGACCCAGTGTTTGAACAAACTGGATCGGCTCCCACTTTTTGTTTGGGTGTCTCAGAGGTTTCCCTGTTGTCTTCTAAAGTGGCTCAGTTATTCTCTGTCTTCTTTCCTTATTCATTTGCTTTGTGATACTTATAACCTGTTATTCTCCTGCTCTCTGTCCAGTTATTATTGTCCACCACCTCTCAAAAATGTAAGCTTTGTGGATGCAGTGGCCTGTGTGTATTGTCTGTCTTTTTACCACTGGTATTGTACCTAGTGCCTAACACTCTCTATGTAAATAGTGAATGGGTGGATTATTGAGAATACCGGTTTACTTCTTTCTTCTTTTTTTAAAAAAAAGTTTATTTATTTATTTATTTTTGAGAGAGGGAAAGAGAGAGAGGCAGGGAGAGATGAAGAGACAGAATCCCAAGCAGGCTCCATGCTGACAGCACAGGGCCCGATGTGGGGCTTGAACTCACAAACCGTGAGATCATGACCTAAGCCAAACCAGGAGTTGGACACTTAACCGACTGAGCCACCCAAGTGCCCCAAGAATACCAATTTTAGATGTTATAGGCCCGAAAATATCTGAGTTGTCTCTCGCACTGAGTTGTAGACCTTTACTATATTCACTAAATAAATGCCCTCTAGCTGGTGCCCAGCCAAGTATTTCTTTATCTTTTGCCTCATCGATATGTCAAACAATAAAATGAAGAAAAAAACCCTGCTAGAAATTTGCCATTTGCCCCTCCAGATTCACTTTCTTCCCCTTTCCAACCTGTTATGTGACCCTTTGTTGATCGTCCTCTGACTTCCACTTGGGTCTGGCCCAGAAAGGCACCCACAGAAGATCCAGAACTAGGAAGAATAGGAGGCCAGGTGTTTATTCACCTGACTCTCTGACTCTCTTTCTCCACAGGCACTAGTTGAAGTGGCCGTGCTCCTCCCTGGAAACTTTCTGGAGTTTCTGTGATTGTTCCTTCCCTTTGTACCTTGAGGCCTAGAGGTGGAACCAATCCTGTCCCCACCTCCACCCACAATACCTTGTTTCATTCTCCAAATGCTGTCCACAAGTCTCTAAATACTGTCTTCAGGAAACTCTCCCGATCACCTCATGCAAGCGTACCATTGGTCTCCTGCCTGGACCCTGACTTTAACGGCAATGTTTCTTATTTAAGTATTACAGTACCTAGGCGCCTCTGGGTTTAAAAGTCATGCCAAGGGCATTTCTGAACAAGTCTATAGATGCCTTAAAAGATAGAT